GTATAGGGGGTTATATGGGGGGGCGTATAGGGGTTTCTATGGGGTTATATTGGTAGTTATAGGAGAGGCTATATGGGGGGTTGTAAAGGGGGTTATATGGGGGTGTGTATAGGGGGTTCCATGGGGGTTCTATGGGGTTATATTGGGGGTTATAGGGGAGGTTATATGGGGGGTTGTATAGGGGGTTATATGGGGGTGTGTATAGGGGGTTCTATGGGGGTTCTATGGGGTTATATGTTATAGGGGAGGTTATATGGGGGGTTGTATAGGGGGTTATAGGGGAGGTTATATGGGGGGGGTGTATATGGGGGTTATATAGGGGAGGTTATATGGGGGGTTGTATAGGGGGTTATATGGGGTGTATGGGGGGTTATATGGGGTGTATGGGGGGTTATATGGGGTGTATGGGGGTTATAGGGGGTTATATGGGGTGTATGGGGGGTTATATGGGGTGTATGGGGGTTATATGGGGGTATATGGGGTGTATAGGGGGTTATATGGGGTGTAGGGGGGTTATATGGGGTTTCTATGGGGTTATATTGGGGGTTATAGGGGAGGTTATATGGGGGGTTGTATAGGGGGTTATATGGGGTGTGTATAGGGGGTTCTATGGGGGGGGTTATAGGGGAGGTTATATGGGGGGTTGTATAGGGGGTTATATGGGGGTGTGTATAGGGGGTTCAATGGGGTTTCTATGGGGTTATATTGGGGGTTATAGGGTAGGTTATCTGGGAGGTTGTATAGGGGGTTATATGGGGGGTTATAGGGGAGGTTATATGGGGGGTTGTGTAGGGGGTTATATGGGGGTTCTATGGGGGTTCTATGGGGTTCTATAGGGGCTCTATGGGGGTTACACATAGGATTATATGGGGGAGTCAGGGAGAATTTGGGGGTCACGGCGCTTTAGGAGGGTCACAAGGGTAACGGGGGGGTCAAGGGAGGGCAAGAGAAGGGCACGGGGGGGTCACGTGGGGGTACTGAGGGTCACGAGGAGGTCATGGGGGGGAGGGGGGGGCACATGGAGGCCACATCCGGGGCTATTTGTGTCCTGCGGTTCCCCTTTATCAGCTGGGGGGGGGGAGGGGACATGGGGGGGGATGGAGGGGGAGGGGGAGGACATGGGGGGGGATGGGACATGGGGGGGGGGGGACATGGGGGAGGGTCAGGACACGGGGGGAGGGATGGGACAATGGGGGGGGGATGGGACATGGGGGGGGCATGGGGGGGGATAGGACACGGGGGGGGGGGGGATGGGACACGGGGGGGGGGGGACAGACACGGAAATGTGGGGAGGCCCCAAACCCCGATAAGGGCCGGGACTCCCCCACAGCTGCCCCCCCCCGCCCCCTTGGTGCCACTCAGCACCACATGATGCCCATTGGGGGGGGGGGGGGAGACACAGGGCCCAGCCCCATTGGACCTAAGATGTGGGGCCCAGACCCACAGGGCCCCCCCTTCCCCATGGGGCTCCCTTCCCCCCCCCCCCCTCCCTGCATGGGCCTTGGAGATGTGGGGCTCAGACACCAGTGTCCTTCCCTATGGGGCCCGTAGGGTTCCATCCTGCCCCATGGCCCCAAGGATGTGGGGTGCAGACCCACGGGGTCCTCCCTCCCCATGGGGCCCCACATCCCCCCCCACCCTTCCCCATAGGGCCAGAGCTCTGGGGCCTGGCTGCCTGCATCCCATCCCCATGGGCCCCACATGTGTGGGGCGCTCACCAATGGTTTCCACAATGAGGAGCATGAGGCCGCCGATATGGAGGTCGCCAGTGACGCGGAGGGCAAGGGTGCGGGAGGCCGCTGTGGGGCCGGGGGGCTCTGTGGGGCCGGGGGGCTCTGTGGGGCCGGGCTGCCCCACAGCATCGTCCTCATCCATGTCCACGTCCACCTGCAGCTCGAAGGAGCCATCGATGGCCTCCCCGCTCGCTGTCTTCAGCCCCGCCATGGCCGGGCCTTCTGCCCCACTGAGCCCGGGTCCTCCCACCCCACAGAGCCCTATAGAGCCCCCCAAAGCCCAGCCCCTCCTGCCCCACAGAAGCCCAAAGTCCACCCGCCCCACAGCGCCTTATAGAGCCCTGGGTCCCTCCGTCCTGCCCCACAGCGCCCCAACTTCCCCCCTGCCACCGCAGAGGAAGTGGAGCAGAGGGAGGAGCTGTGGGGCCGGGTGCAGAGCTGGCAGCTGTGGGGTGAGCTCCCCCCCTTCCATGCCCCATAAGCAAACCCCCCTCACCACCCCAAGGGGGACCAGCCCCATCTGCTACCCCAAAGGGTTGAGGCCCCACAGAACCCTCCCCATGGGGCACTGGGCCCCCCCACATCCTCCCTCCTCACATCCCCACTTGCCTCCATCAAGGGCTTGGGGCGCCCCAATCCCAAGCCCCCGGGGCATCTGGGCCCCCCACATCCGCCCCATAGGGGAATCCCAGCCCCATGGCCCCACATCCACCCCATAGGAGACTCCAGCCCTAGGGCCCCACATCCGCCCCACAGGGGACTCCAGCCCCAGGGCCCCACATCCACCCCACAGAGGACTCCACCCCATGGCCCCACATCCACCCCACAGGGGACTCCAGCCCCAGGGCCCCACATCCACCCCATAGGAGACTCCAGCCCCATGGCCCCACATCCACCCCACAGGGGACTCCACCCCATGGCCCCACATCCACCCCACAGGGGACTCCACCCCATGGCCCCACATCCACCCCATAGGGGACTCCAGCCCCAGGGCCCCACATCCACCCCATAGGGGACTCCACCCCATGGCCCCACATCCACCCCATAGGAGACTCCAGCCCCATGGCCTCACATCCACCCCACAGGGGACTCCACCCCATGGCCCCACATCCACCCCATAGGGGACTCCAGCACCATAGCCCCACATCCACCCCATACGGGACTCCACCCCATGGCCCCACATCCACCCCACAGGGGACTCCAGCCCCACGGCCCTACATCCACCCCATAGGAGACTCCAGCCCTAGGGACCCACATCCACCCCATAGGGCCCCCCAGCACCATGAGCCCCCCCCACTCCCCCCATAGGGACCGGACCTGGTCGCTGCTCCGCTCTTTATTGGGGGTCGCGGCGCCCCACAACCAACACAAGCGGGGGGGTGGGGGGTGGGGGTGTGATGTGAGGGGCAGCTCCCCCAGCCCCCCATGGTGTGGGGGGTGTGGGGCAGGTAAGGGGGGGGTCACCGGATGGCGATGAGCCCCACATCCATCAGCTTCTGGATCTTCTGCGCGATCACCGGGTTCTTGAGGTGCCTGCGAGGGACGGGGGGGGGTCAGGGGGGGACAATGGGGACCCCCATGGGGCCTTGAGAGCATCACGGGGTGACCGGGAGCACCCGGAACCGCCCTGGGACCCCCTTAGAACACCCCAGAACCCCTATGGGAGCCCAGCAACACCCCATGGACACGCTGGGACCCCTTTAAACCCCATGGACACCCTGGGACCCCTTTAAACCCCCATGGACACCCTGGGACCCCTTTAAACCCCCATGGACACCCTGGGACCCCTTTAAACCCCCATGGACACCCTGGGACCCCTTTAAACCCCCATGGACACCCTGGGACCCCTTTAAACCCCCCACGGACACCCTGGGATCCCTTTAAACCCCCATGGACACCCTGGGACCCCTTTAAACCCCCATGGACACCCTGGGACCCCTTTAAAACCCCATGGACACCCTGGGATCCCTTTAAACCCCCATGGACACCCTGGGACCCCTTTAAACCCCCATGGACGCCGTAGGGGCAATCAGGGACACCCTGGGACCCCTCTACAACACCCCTGGACCCCTTTGGGACCCCCACTGACAGCCCAGGGCCCCCCTGGGATCGCTTTAGGACCCCAGTAAGACCCCAGGGACCACCTGGACCCCTTTGAGACCCCCATTGACAGCCCAGGGCCCCCCTGGGATCCCTTTAGGACCCCACTGACCCCCCCCAGTCCCCCTGGGATCCCTTTAGGACCCCACTGACCCCCCCTTGGCTCCCCCTGGGATCCCTTTGGGACCCCAATAACACCCTAGGCCCCCCTGGGATCCCTTTAGGACCCCAATAACACCCTAGGCCCCCCTGGGATCCCTTTAGGACCCCAATAACACCCTAGGGCCCCCCTGGGATCCCTTTAGGACCCCACTGACCCCCCCCAGTCCCCCCCGGGATCCCTTTAGGACCCCAATAACACCCTAGGGCCCCCCAGGATCCCTTTAGGACCCCAATAACACCCTAGGGCCCCCCCAGGATCCCTTTAGGACCCCACTCGGGATCCCATCCGGACCCCACTGACCCCCCCCCCCCCCGCCACGCACTCGCTGAGGGCCTGGGGGTCCTTCTGCATCTGCTCGAGGATGAGGCGCATGGCGGGGTCGCTCATGATGTGCTGCACCTCGGGGTCGGCCATGGCGCGGCGCTTCACCTCCTCGGGGCTGTCCTGCCGGTTGTACTGCGCCAGCAGGCACCGCTGGTAGCCCTCGGCGGCCTCCTGGGGGCCAGCGAGCTGTGAGCCCCCCCCAGCAGCAACAACAACACCCCTATGATGGGGGGGGACGGGGGGGGACACCCCCCAGCACCTTGCAGCCGGCGTCCAGGTCGAGGGCACGCTGGTAGACGTCCATGGCCTTGCTGTAATCCTTCATGGCCTCCAGCGCCGCCGCCTTCCGGGTGTAGCCTTTGACTGGGGGAGAAGGGGGCAAGGAGGGGTTGGAGGAGGAAGGGAACAGGCAGGGAAAGGGGGGACAGGGAGAGGAGGAAGGGAACAAGGAAAGGAATAGGCAGAGGAAGAGGAATAGGGAGTACAGGAAGAGGAACAGGCAGAGGAGGAAGGGAACACGCAGAGGAAGAGGGAACAGGCAGAGGAAGAGGATAAGGGAGTACAGGAAGAGGAACAGGCAGAGGAGGAAGGGAACAGGCAGGGAAAGGGGGGACAGGGAGAGGAGGAAGGGAACAAGGAAAGGAACAGGTGGAGGAAGAGGATAAGGGAGTACAGGAAGAGGAACAGGCAGAGGAGGAAGGGAACACGCAGAGGAAGAGGGAACAGGCGGAGGAAGAGGATAAGGGAGTACAGGAAGAGGAACAGGCAGAGGAGGAAGGGAACAGGCAGGGGAAGAGGGAACAGGCAGAGGAAGAGGATAAGGGAGTACAGGAAGAGGAGAGGAACAGGCAGAGGAGGAAGGGAACAGGCAGGGGAAGAGAGGGAACAGGCAGAGGAAGAGTATAAGGGAGTACAGGAAGAGGAGAGGAACAGGCAGAGGAGGAAGGGAACAGGCAATGGAAGAGAGGGAACAGGCAGGGGAAGAGGGAACAGGGAGAGGAAGAGGAGGGAATACAGGAACAGGCAGAGGGAAAGGGAGGTACAGGTAGAGAAGAGGGGAATTGGAAAAGGGGAACAAGCAGAGGAGAAGGGAAACAGGCAGAGGAACACATGGAAGGAGAGAGGGAACAGGCAGAAGAAGAGGATAAGGGAGTACAGGAAGAGGAACAGGCAGAGGAGGAAGGGAACAGGCAGGGAAAGGGGGGACAGGGAGAGGAGGAAGGGAACAAGGAAAGGAACAGGCAGAGGAAGAGGAATAGGGAGTACAGGAAAAGGAACAGGCAGAGGAGGAAGGGAACAGGCAGGGGAAGAGAGGGAACAGGAAGAGGAAGAGGGAACAGGGAGAGGAAGAGAAGGGAATACAGGAACAGGCAGAGGAGGAAGGGAACAGACAGGGAAAGAGGGGACAGGGAGAGGAGGAAGGGAACAAGGAAAGGAATAGGCAGAGGAAGAGGGTAAGGGAATACACAGAGAAGAGAGGAACAGGCAGAAGAGAAAGGGGAGTACAGGTAGAGAAGAACAGGCAGAGCAAAAAGATAAGCAAATACAAGAAGAGGAGAGGAACAGGCAGAGGGAAAGGGGAGTACAGGCAGAGGAGAAGGGGAACAGGCGGAGGAGAAGGGGAACAGGCAGAGGAGAACAGGCGGAGGAGAAGGGGAACAGGCAGAGGAACACGTGCAAGAAAAGAGGGAACAGGCAGAGGAAGAGCATAAGGGAATACAAGAAGAGGAACAGGCGGAGGAGGAAGGGAGATTACAAGTGGAGAGGAGGAAATAAGCAGAGGGTCAGGCAGAGAAGATGGGAACAGGCAGAAGAACAGGCGGAAGAAGAAAGGGTACAGGCAGGGGAGAACAGGCAGAAGAGGAAGGGGGGGCCAGAGGAACAGGCAGATGAAGAGGTAAAACAAGCACAACAAAAGCAGGGCGCAGGCAGAGAAGGGGAAACAAGCAGAGGGGGGGACCCCAAACCAAGCCCCCCAGCACTCACTGAAGGAGGGCTCCAGGCGGATGCACTCCTCACAGTCCTGGGGAGGGGAGCAAGGGGGGGGTCAGAGGCACCCAAAAACTGCCCCCCCCCCCCCCCCAATCTCTGCACCCCCCAGGACCCCCCCAGACCTTGAGGGCGAGGGGGAACTCCAGCAGCTTGGTGTAGCAGGCAGCACGGTTGCTGTAGAGCCGGGCCTCGTGCGGGTTGCGCCGGATGGCCTCGGTGTAGTGCTTCATGGCCTGCGGGTAATCCCCTGCCAAAGGGGGGGGTCCCCCACACCAGGGGGAGTCATTGAGGGCTTGGGGGCCACCCCAAGACCTCCCCTTCCCCCCCCCCCCAGGACCCCCTCATTGTACCTCTTTGGAAGCATTCATTGCCTTTGTTCTTCTCCTGCAGCGCCAGCTCGGGGTCGATGTAAGCCAAGCGCTCCTGCTCCTTTAGGATCTTCTCTGCCTGCAGCAGCCCCATTTGGGGGTCAATGGAGGGGTGCACCCCGTTTTTAACCCCCCCTTCCCCCTCCTCCCCACCATCACCTGCTGGCACTTCTTGAGCACATCCGGGGTGCGATGCTCGGCCAAGGACTTGTTATAGAAGTGGATGGCGTCCTTGTAGCGCTCCTCGCGCAGGTACGAGTTCCCGATGCGCGCGTAGGCCCTGGGGGTGAGGGGGGGGTTTGGGGGTGGTGCCAAGAGAAGGGGGGGGATTTGGGGTGGGGGGGAACCCCCTCTTTTCAACCGGACCCACTTTGCAATCTGCCTGTAGTCCTCCCGGTTCTGCCGCCCCACCTCGATGGCCTTGGTGCAGAGCTCCCGGCACCGCGCGTAGTCCCCGCTCTCGAAGTAGACGGCTGGGAGGGAGGAAAAGAGGGGGTTCGGGGGGGGATTTGGGGTTCAAAGGGGGATTTTGGGGGTTCAGGGGGGGGTGGGGGGGTTTAAGGGGGGTTTGGGGAGTTTGGGGGGGTTTGGGGGGTACAAGTGGGGGGCTGGGGGTTCAAAGGGGGATTTTGGGGGGTTCAAGGGGGGATTTTGGGGGGGTTTGGGGGGTACAAGGGGGGGCCTGGGGGTTCAAGGGGGGATTTTGGGGGGTTCAAGGGGGGGGTTGGGGGGGGTTAAGGGGCGGTGGGAGTTTGGGGGGGTTTGGGGGGTACAAGGGGGGGCTGGGGGATCAAGGGGGGATTTTGGGGGGTTCAAGGGGGGGTTTTCGGGGGGTTTAAGGGGGGGTGGGAGTTTGGGGGGGTTTGGGGGGTACAAGGGGGGGGCTGGGGGTTCAAGGGGGGAGTTGGGGTTCAGGGGCGTTGGGGTTCAAGGGGGGCGTTTGGGGACTCAAGGGGGGCTTTGGGGGGGTTTAAGGGGGGTTTGGGGGGTAGAAAGGGGGGTTTAAGGGGGGGTGGGAGTTCAGGGGGGTTTGGGGGGTACAGGGGGGGTGGGGGTTCAAGGGGGGCATTTGGGGGTTCAAGGGGGGATTTTGGGGGGTTTAAGGGGGCTTTTGGGGGGCTCAGGGGGGTTTAGGAGTTTGGGGGGGTTGGGGGGTACAAGGGGGGTTGGAGGTTCAAGGAGGAAGTTGGGGTTCGGCGGGGGGTTGGGGTTCAAGGGGGGTTTGGGGGGTTTAAGGGGGGGTGGGGAGTTTGGGGGGTACAAAGGGGGTTTTGGGGGTTTAAGGGGGGGTTTGGGAGTTCGGGGGGTTTGGGGGTACGGGGGGTTGGGGGTTCAAGGGGGGTATTGGGGTTCAGGGGGGTTGGGGTTCAAGGGCGGAGTTTGGGGGTTCAAGGGGTGGCTTGGGGGTTCAAGGGAGGTTTTGGGGATTCAAGGGGGGTTGGGTGTTCAAGGGGGATTTTGGGGGTTCGGGGTGGGTGGGGATTCAAGGGGGGCATTTGGGGGTTCAAGGGGGATCTTGGGGGGTTTAAGGGGGGGTTTGGGGGTTCGGGGGGGTTCAAGGGGTGGGTTGGGGGTTCAAGGGAGGTTTGGGGGAGTCAAGGGGGAGGCTGGGGATTCAAGGGGGGTGTTTGGGGGGTTCACGGGGTGGGTTGGGGTTCAAGAGGGGGTTTTGGGGGTTCAGGGTGCGGTTTAGGAGGTTCAGGGAAGGGTTTAGGGTGTTCAAGGGGGGGGTTGGGCAATCAAGGGGGTGTTTGTGGGTTCCAGGGGGTGTTTGTGGGTTCCATGGGGTGTCTGTGGGTTCCAGGGGGTGTTTGTGGGTTCCAGGGGAGGTGTTTGTGGGTTCAGGGGGGGTGTTTGTGGGTTCAGGGGGGGGTGTTTGTGGTGTTCCAGGGGGTGTTTGTGCGTTGGGGGGCGCTCACCCGCCTGGTTGGTGACGTAGCTCATGTTGGTGGGGTCCAGCTCCTCGGCGCGGGTGTAGTGAGCCAGCGCCGCGGGGAACTCCTTGCGCTTGTAGGCAGCGTTGCCCAGCTCCTTCTCCTGCTGGGCCTGGGGGGGGGCACCCCAAAATCACCCCCGGCACCACCCCTGCACCCCAAACCTGACCAAAACCTCCCAAAATACCCCAAAACCTGACCAAAACCTGGCCAAAACACCCCAAAGCCTGCCCAAAACCTCCCAAAATACCCCAAAACCTGCCCGAGAACCTCCCCCCACCCCAAAACCACCCAAAACCTGCCCCTGCACCCCAAAACCTGACCAAAACCTCCCAAAACACCCCAAAACCTGCCCCTGCACCCCAAAACCTGCCCAAAACCTCCCAAAATACCCCAAAACCTGCCCTAGAACCTCCCCCCTACCCCAAAAACACCCAAAACCTGCCCCTGCACCCCAAAACCTGACCAAAACCTCCCAAAACAACCCAAAACCTGACCAAAACCTCCTGAAACACCCCAAAACCTCCCAAAGCACCCCAAAACCTGACCAAACACCCCAAAACCTCCCAAAACACCCCAAAACCTGACCAAACACCCCAAAACCTGAACAAATACCCCAAAACCTGAACAAAATCTCCCAAAACCTGCCGAAACACCCCAAAACCTGCCCTAGAACCTCCCCCCGCACCCCAAAACCACCCAAAACCTCCCCAAACCCCCCAAAACCTCCCAAAGCACCCCAAAACCACCCAAAACCTCCCCAAACCCCCCAAAACCTCCCAAAGCACCCCAAAACCACTCAAAACCTCCCAAAACACCCCAAAACCTGCCCAAACCTCCCCACCCCCCCCAACCCTGCCCCCGAAGCCCCTCCAGCTCCTCCCCCTCATTTCCAGGCTCCCCCTGCTGGGGTTGGGGTTGGGGGGGGGCACCCCAAAAGCCGCCCCTCCCCCCTCACCTCCTTCTTGTTCTCGGGGAGCTCCTCGGGCGGGGGGGGCTGGGCCGGGGGTTTGGGGGGGGGCGGGGGGGGGGGGGAGGGCGCCTCCTCCTCCTCCTCGGCTCCGCTCAGCTCCACCCCCAGCAGCACGCTCAGGGTGGTCATGACCCGAGGGTCCTGCAGCTTCCTGCGGGGGCGCCCCGAAAGTGAGCCCGGGAACCCCAAAAGTGAGACCAAACCCGACCCCATGCACCCCAAAACTGAGCCCATGAACCCCAAAACTGAGCCCAAACCGGCCCCATGCACCCCAAAACTGAGCCCATGCACCCCAAAACTGAGCCCAAACTGGCCCCAGGCACCCCATGCACCCCAAAACTGAGCCCGTGAACCCCAAAACTGAGCCCAAACCGGCCCCATGCACCCCAAAACTGACCCCATGCACCCCAAAACTGAGCCCAAACTGGCCCCAGGCACCCCAAAACTGACCCCATGCACCCCAAAACTGAGCCCGGGAACCCCGAAAGTGACCCCAAACCGGGCCCGGGAACCCCGAAAGTGACCCCATGCACCCCAAAACTGAGCCCATGAACCCCAAAACTGAGCCCAAACCGGCCCCAGGCACCCCAAAACTGAGCCCAGGAACCCCGAAACTGAGCCCATGAACCCCAAAACTGAGCCCATGAACCCCAAAACTGAGCCCGGGCACCCCAGAACTGAGCCCGTGAACCCCAAAACTGATCCCAAAAGTGACCCCGGTCACCCCAAAACTGAGCCCAAACCGGCCCCAGGCCCCCCAAAAGTGACCCCATGCACCCCAAAACTGAGCCCATGAACCCCAAAACTGACACCGAGCACCCCAAAACTGAGCCCAAACCGGCCCCAGGCACCCCAAAACTGAACCTATGAACCCCAAAACTGAGCCCAAACCAGCCCTGTGCACCCCAAAACTGACCCCGTGAACCCCAAAACTGATCCCAAAATTGACCCCGGTCACCCCAAAACTGAGCCCAAACTGGCCTCGGGCACCCCAAAAGTGACCCCATGCACCCCAAAACTGAGCCTATGAACCCCAAAACTGACCCCAAAAGTGACCCCGGGCACCCCAGAACTGACTCCATGCACCCCAAAACTGAGCCCAAACTGGCCCCAGACACCCCAAAACTGACCCCATGAACCCCAGAAGTGAGCCCATGAACCCCAAAACTGAGCCCAAAAGTGACCCCGGGCACCCCAGAACTGAGCCCAAACCGGCCCCGGGCACCCCAAAAGTGACCCCACCCCAAAACTGAGCCCATGAACCCCGAAACTGACCCCAAACCAGCCCTGTGCACCCCAAAACTGACCCCGTGCACCCCAAAACTGAGCCCGTGAACCCCAAAACTGATCCCAAAAGTGACCCCGGTCACCCCAAAACTGAGCCCAAACCGGCCCCAGGCACCCCAAAAGTGACCCCATGCACCCCAAAACTGAGCCCATGAACCCCAAAACTGACCCCAAACCGGCCCCGGGCACCCCAGAACTGACCCCATGCACCCCAAAACTGAGCCCAAACCGGCCCCAGACACCCCAAAAGTGACCCCATGAACCCCAAAAGTGACCCCATGAACCCCAAAACTGACCCCGGGCACCCCAGAACTGAGCCCGTGAACCCCAAAACTGACACCGGGCACCCCAAAACTGAGCCCAAACCAGCCCCGGGCACCCCAAAACTGACCCCATGCACCCCAAACCCAACCCCAAACCACTCCATGCACCCCAAAACTGACCCCATGCACCCCAAACCCGACCCCGTGCACCCCAAACCCAACCCCAAACCATTCCATGCACCCCAAAACTGATCCCATGCACCCCAAACCTGACCGCAAACCATTCCATGCCCCCCAAACCCGACCCTGTGCACCCCCACCCCAACCCCAAACCAACCACACGCACCCCAAAACTGATCCCATGCACCCCAAACCCGACCCCATGCACCCCAAACCATTCCATACACCCCAAAACTGATCCCATACACACCAACCTGACTCCAAACCGACCCCATGCACCCCAAAACTGATCCTGTGCACCCCAAAACTGATCCCATACACCCCAAACTCCCCCCAAACCAACCCTACGCACCCCAAAGCGGCTCCACGCAGCCCAAAACTGACCCTGTGCACCTCAACCTAACCCCAAACTAGCTCCATGCACCCCAAAACTGACCCCGTGAACCCCAAAACTGATCCTGTGCAACAGAAACTGCCCCCAAACCAACCCCATGCACCCCAAACCCGAATCCATACACCCCAAACCCGACCCCAAACCATTCCATGCACCCCAAAACTGATCCCATGCACCCCAAACCCGAGGCTGTGCACCCCAAACCCGACCCCAAACCAGCCCCCTGCACCCTAAACATGACCCCGTGCACCCCAAACCCGACCCCAAACCATTCCATGCACCCCAAACCTGATCCCAGGTATCCCAAAACTGATCCCATGCACCCAAAACTGCCCCTAAACCAACTCCGTGCACCCCAAACCTGACCCCAAGCCATTCCATGCACCCCAAACCCTACCCCATGCACCCCAAACCCGACCCCATGCACCCCAAGCCCGACCCCAAACCATTTCATGCACCCCACAATTGATCGCGTGCACCCCAAACCGGACCCCAAACCCGACCCCATGCACCCCAAACCCGACCCCAAACCATTCCATGCACCCCAAACCTGACTCCATGCACCCCAAAACTGATCCCATGCACCCAAAACTGCCCCCAAACCAACCCCGTGCACCCCAAACCCGACCCCAAGCCATTCAATGCACCCCAAACCCTACCCCATGCACCCCAAACCCGACCCCATGCACCCCAAGCCCGACCCCAAACCATTTCATGCACCCCACAATTGATCGCGTGCACCCCAAACCGGACCCCAAACCCGACCTCATGCACCCCAAGCCCGACCCCAAACCATTCCATGCACCCCAAACCCGACCCCATGCACCCCAAAACCGAACCCCAAACCATTTCACGCACCCCAAAACTGATCGCGTGCACCCCAAACCGGACCCCAAACCCGAGCCCATACACCCCAACCCCGACCCCAAACCATTCCATACACCCCAAACCTGACCCCATGCACCCCAAAACTGATCCCATGCACCCAAAACTGCCCCCAAACCAACCCCGTGCACCCCAAACCATTCCATGCACCCCAAAACTGATCCCATGCCCCCCAAACCCGACCCCGTGCCCCCCAAACCCCCCCGCTCCGTACGAGCCGAGCATGGCGGGGTCGCTGCGCAGCTGCTCCAGCAGCTGGCGGTATTCGGGGTCCCGCAGCAGCGCGCGCGTCCGCGGGTCCCCCTCGAGCCGGCCCAGCAGGTCCGGGGCGCTGAAGGGGTTCAGCAGCTTCCGCTCTGAGGGGGGAGAGGGGGCACCCAACAGCGACCGTGACCACAAGGAACCCAAAACCCATCGAACCCCCAAACCCCTCATTGACCCCCAAAACCCATCACTGACCCCCCATTGACCCCCAAAACCCATCATTGACCCCCCCAAACCCATCATTGACCCCCAAAACCCATCACTGACCCCCCATTGACCCCCCAAACCCCTCATTGACCCCCCCAAACCCATCATTGACCCCCAAAACCCATCACTGACCCCCCATTGACCCCCCAAACCCCTCATTGACCCCCCAAACCCATCATTGACCCCCCCATTGACCCCCCAAACCCCTCATTGACCCCCCCAAACCCCTCATTGACCCCCAAAACCCATCACTGACCCCCATTGACCCCCAAAACCCATCACTGACCCCCCAAACCCATCACTGACCCCCCCAAACCCATCATTGACCCCCCAAACCCATCATTGACCCCCCCAAACCCATCATTGACCCCCAAAACCCATCACTGACCCCCCATTGACCCCCCAAACCCCTCATTGACCCCCCCAAACCCATCATTGACCCCCAAAACCCATCACTGACCCCCCATTGACCCCCCAAACCCCTCATTGACCCCCAAAAACCCATCATTGACCCCCCCATTGACCCCCCAAACCCCTCATTGACCCCCAAAACCCATCATTGACCCCCCATTGACCCCCCAAACCCCTCATTGACCCCCCCAAACCCATCATTGACCCCCAAAACCCATCATTGACCCACTGACACCCCCAAACCCATCATTGACCCCCCAAACCCCATCACTGACCCCAAACCCCATCACTGACCCCCCCATTGACCCCCCCAAACCCCCTCCTTGAACCGCCAAACCCCATCATTGACCCCCTCAAACCCATCATTGACCCCCGCAAACCCATCATTGACCCATTGACACCCCCAAACCCATCATCGACCCCCCCAAACCCCTCATTGACCCCCCAAACCCCTCATTGACCCCCCAAACCCCATCATTGACCCCCCCATTGACCCCCCAAACCCCTCATTGACCCCCAAAACCCATCATTGATCCCCCCATTGACCCCCCAAACCCCTCATTGACCCCCAAAACCCATCATTGACCCACTGACATCCCCAAACCCATCACTGACCCCCCCAAACCCATCATTGACCCCCCAAACCCATCACTGACCCCCCCAAACACATCATTGACCCCCCAAACCCCATCATTGACCCCCCATTGACCCCCCCAAACCCCATCATTGACCCCCCAAACACATCATTGACCCCAAACCCCATCATTGATCCCCCCATTGACCCCCCAAACCCCTCATTGACCCCCCCAAACCCATCACTGACCCCCCAAAACACATCACTGACCCCCCAAACCCCATCATTGACCCCCAAACCCCGTCATTGACCCCCCAAACCCATCATTGACCCCCCCAAACCCCCTCATTGACCCCCCCAAACCCCTCATTGACCCCCCCAAACCCCTCATTGACCCCCAAACCCCATCATTGACCCCCCCATTGACCCCCCCGTTGCCCCCCCCTCACCCGCCAGCCGCGCCTCCACCCCCCGCAGCCCGTCCCGGAGCTGGGCGTTGCCGGGCTCGTGCCGCAGCCCCTCCTCGTAGGCGGCCTTGGCCTCCTCCAGCCGCTGCAGGAACTCCAGCGCCGCGGCCTTGCGCGAGTAACCCTGCGGGCAGGGCACGTGGGGCACGGTCACGTGGGGCTGGGAGCACCCAGGGGTCATGGGGGTCACGTGGGGCTGCGAGCACCCAGGGGTCATGTGGGTCACGTGGGGCTGGGAGCACCCAGGGGTCATGTGGGTCACGTGGGGCTGGGAGCACCCAGGGGTGACGTGGGTCACGTGGGGCTGCGAGCACCCAGGGGTCATGTGGGTCACGTGGGGCTGCGAGCACCCAGGGGTCATGTGGGGCTGCGAGCACCCAGGGGTGATATGGGTCACGTGGGGCTGGGAGCACCCAGGGGGGGATGCAGGTCACGTGGGGCAGGGTCACGTGGGGCTGGGAGCACCCAGGGGTGATGTGGGTCACGTGGGGCTGGGAGCACCCATGGGTGATGCGGGTCATGTGGGGCACAAACACAGAGGGGTCAGGGAGCACCCATGGATGCTGCGGGTCACGTGGGGCAGAGAGCACCCATGGGTGATGCAGGTCACGTGGGGCAGGGAGCACCCATGGGTGATGCGGGTCATGTGGGGCTGGGAGCACCCATGGGTGATGTGGGTCATGTGGGGCACAAACACAGAGGGGTCAGGGAGCACCCATGGGTGCTGCAGTCACATAGAGCAGGGACACACAGGGGGGGTCAGGAAGCACCCATGGGTGATGCGGGTCATGTGGGGCAAAAACACACAGGGGTCAGGGAGCACCCATGGGTGCTGCTGTCACATAGAGCAGGGACACACAGGGGTCAGGGAGCACCCATGGGTGCTGCGGTCATGTAGGGCAGGGACACACAGGGGTCAGGGAGCACCCATGGGTGCTACTGTCATGTAGAGCAGGGACACACAGGGGTCAGGGAGCACCCATGGGTGCTTGGAGCATAGGCACAGACACACACATAGGAGTTCATGCAGCACCCATGGGTACTGCAGGCCCAGTCGATGCTGGACACACACACACACATTGGAGGTGATGGAGCACCCATGGGTGCTGCAGCACCCACCTTAGGGCATGGATGCACGCATCTATAGAAGGTAATGGAGCACCCATGGGTGCTATGGGTCTCACCTTGGGACATATATACGAAGGTGACAGAGCACCCATGGGTGCTGCAGAGCTCACCTTCAGGCATGGCCACACACACAGGTAGAGGTGATGGAGCACCCATGGGTGCCGTGGGGCTCACCTTGGGGCACACACACACACAGGAGCTGATGGAGCACCCATGGGTGCTATGGGTCTCACACACACACACACACAATGATGGAGCACCCATGGGTGCCATGGGGCTCACCTTGGGGCACACACACACACAGGAGCTGATGGAGCACCCATGGGTGCTACGGGTCTCACACACACACACACACACACACACACAATGATGGAGCACCCATGGGTGCTACGGGTCTCACACACACACACACACACACACACAATGATGGAGCACCCATGGGTGCCGTGGGGCTCACCTTGGGGCACACACACTCATAGGAGGTGACTGAGCACCCATGGGTGCTATGGGGCTCACACAGACACAGGAGGTGACAAGAGCACCCATGGGCGCTGCAGCACTCACCCTGAGGCACATACAAAGGCATAGGAGGTGACTAAGCACCCATGGGTGCTATGGGGCTGACCTTGGGGCACACACTTGCACACAGAGAAGGTGATGGAGCACCCATGGGTGCTATGGGTCTCACACTGAGGCAGAACACACACACAGAGGAGGTGATGGAGCACCCATGGGTGCTATGGGGCTGACCTTGGGGCACACACTCGCACACACAGGAGGTGATGGAGCACCCATGGGTGCTATGGGTCTCACACTGAGGCACAACACACACACACAGAGGAGGTGATTGAGCACCCATGGGTGCTCTGGGGCTCACCTTGGGGCACACAAACACACACACAAAGGTGATGGAGCACCCATGGGTGCTATGGGTCCCACACTAAGGCACAACACACACGCACAGAGGAGGTGATTGAGCACCCATGGGTGCTCTGGGGCTCACCTTGGGGCACACACACACACAAAGGTGATGGAGCACCCATGGGTGCTATGGGTCTCATACACACAGAAGATGACAGAGCACCCATGGGTGCTACAGGTCTCACCTTGGGGCACACACAGAGGAGGTGATGGAGCACCCATGGGTGCTATGGGTCTCACATTGAGGCACACACACACAGAGGAGGTGATGGAGCACCCAGGGGTGCTACGGATCTCACACTGAGGCACACAGAGAAGGTGACGGAGCACCCATGGGTGCTATGGGGCTCACACACACACAAAGGAAATGACAGAGCACCCATGGGTGCTATGGGTTTCACCTTAGGGTACACACACACACACACAGAGGAGGTGATGCAGCACCCATGGGTGCTCTGGGGCTCATACCCACAGGAGCTGATGCAGCACCCATGGGTGCTATGGGTTCACACACAGACAGGAGCTGATGCAGCAACCATAGTTGCTCTGGAGCTTACACACGCAGGAGCTGATGCAGCACCCATGGGTGCTATGGGTTCACACACACACAGGAGCTGATGCAGCACCCATGGGTGCTATGGGGCTCACACACAGACAGGAGGTGATGCAGCACCCATGGATGCTCTGGGCTCACACACACAGAGGAGCTGATGGAGCACCCATGGGTGCTCTGGGACTCACACACACAGGAGCTGATGCAGCACCCATGGGTGCTATGGGGCTCACACACACAGGAGCTGATGCAGCACCCATGGGTGCTCTGGGCTCACACACCCCCAGGAACCAATGCAGCATCCATGGGTGCTCTGGGCTCACACCCCCAGGAACCAATGAGGCACCCATGGGTGCTCTGGGGCTCACACACACACAGGCTGATGCAGCACCCACGGGTGCTATGGGTTCACACACAGACAGGAGCTGATGCAGCACCCATGGGTGCTTTGGGCTCACACACAGACAGGAGCTGATGCAGCACCCATGGGTACTCTGGGGCTCACACACACACTGGAGGTGATGGAGCACCCATGGGTGCTCTGGGCTCACACACACAGGAGCTGATGCAGCACCCATGGGTGCCCTGGGCTCACACACAC